CGACAATTAGAGTTCTGAAAGAACATTTCGTTCAAGGCTATGAGTCTATGAACCCATTCTTTCAACATACAGATCTCTCAAAGAGCAGCGAAAATAGAACCCTCCGCAACCTGCCGCCCGCGCTTTTCAGGCGCGAGGCCACGTCGTCGCAGAGCATGCCTCCCAAGCCTTCCGCCCTCCAGATCCGGCCACCTTGCATTTGCGGGATGTGGTTTGCTCTTCCCTAGTAGCGATGGCCTCCGCCCTAGTATCGATGGCCTCCCCTTAGTAGCGATGGCCTCCACCCTACTTCAAAATCTCTTTGTTAGAGGCAAACGGAAGGGTAGTGCACAGAAGGGGTTTTGCAAATACTATTCTACTAACATCGTGGAAGGCGCGGGACATTCGTAGAACCCAAGGCTATTCGTGGACAGTTCGTGGAATGGTGGGCCAGTAGGAGAACTGACCGCAACGAAATCCCAGAAACCTTCGCAGAACTTCGTGGAAGGTATTTTTGATGCACTAACTTCGTACAAGCAATTTTTGCTGACCCCTTTCTCCACACACCCTCCATCTAGCCTTCACTTTGGGTGAATCTATCTACTGTATTCGATTTATTCGATTATTATTCATTTGACTCTTCGTTGGCCTCACTGTCGTCGGATTCCTGCTGAATGTAGCCAAACATCGTGCTGAGATAGCATTGCGAGCTTATCGCGGCCCGCTATTTCTCGATCAGCCAGCCAGCCAGCCGGCCGGCCGGTCGATGTACTACAAAAAAGTTTATATCATATACTGTCTTGTGCCTTAGCCTAGCATCTAGAATCATTGGACACATACTCGCACACGCACACGGATATTATATGTCAACTCCAAAGAAGTCTGTCAACTCCAAGGCCACGGTGCATCGCTCCTCGACCGGACCAAGCGTGGCGGCCGTCACTTTACCGGTGCCAGTGGCCCCAGGTCCAGAGCTGCTGGATCCGTCGCCCAGAGCGCCTGACTCCGAGCTGCCTGGTGAAGAGAACGCCTGGGCCGAGCTACAGAAATATTTGCGGATGCTGTGCAAGGAGGAGTCCAACGGCTGGCTGGAGGCCGGTATGTTCTATAGGACTTCAGGACTGAAATTTGAAGGACAGTGATTCTTTTCCAGATCCTCCAGGTGGCTCAGCTCGTGGAGAAGCTACGACAACTTCCCAGCGGTGCCGGCCCACCGCCAGACACTTCACCTGCCGCGCAGCTGTCATCAGCGGATCAGGCCGAGTTGGCGCGGGCGGCAGAGGTGTCGAAGCACAAGGATGAGGAGACCTGGTTGGGATCGAAGAATCGCAGGATCGAACGAAGGTCGTTTTTGAGTCGTTTTGGGATCGGATCGAAGCATTCAAAAGAACGAAAAAGGGTGTGATGATTGTCAGGTGCCGGTGAGGATCACAACCCCCATGCATGAACTGGTCATTGCAGCATTGCCCCAAGACGAGTTGTTTCTTGAATGTCCAGAGCACATGCATACTGATCTAGAGCCTGTTTTCCTCAAAGTGCCACATTGCTTATAGGGCATCATAGGTTTCAAGTATATAAGGCATTTTAAAGCCAATTGATATATTAGCATTTCTTTTCGCCTCGTCTCTACTGCCTACGGGACTCCAACCGCCAACGGCTGGACCGGATCGGATGATGTGGAGCCGTTGGGATAATCACTGGCGCAGCAGTCAGCTGTGAGTGGTTAAGGCTTAAGCCTCTAAGCATCGGGGTCAGCGAAGAATGTTGGGTCGAGAAAAGGGGTGAAGCTGACACCCAGATGCAATTTAATTACGTCTTCTGCATGTGCAATTCTATGAGCTCTCAGTTGCAAAGTATTGCCCTGGGACTTGTTGAACAGATCATGACAAAATGACTTCTGAGCTGGACCTATTGATTCTTTTTGTATTTAAAAAGAATCAATAGGTCCAGCTCAGAAGTCATTTTTTGTACTTCTTGGCCATGCTTGGCCATCAGACTGGTCAATCCAGCTTGGTCGGTTCAACTATATTCATTTGTGAAAGTGGCCGAAGCGATCCTTTCCAAGCACCGTCACCTGGCGGCCCCTCATCGCCCACCCGGTGCCTGACGTTTCGGGGCGTTCTTCGTTCCAGTCGTCGTTCAGGAGCTGCAGCGAGTCCTGCAGCAGTTCCATGCCGTCCAAAGTGACTGCAGCCAGCTGAGGTTGGACATTGCAAAGGGTTCCTCGGTGGGTTTGGGGAGTTTTTGGGAGAAGGCATCGGAGCTGTTTTGGGTCACAAAGGCGGAGAGAGAGAGAGAGGGGCTTTCGCATGCCTTTTGCCGTGCATCGTGCCAGAGGTAAACATCCACTACTTACCCATTTTATCCCCGATTCCAATGATTGCTTTTATGCCGGCAGTGCTTATTTATCTTTATCTCATTGTGGGATATTGTGGGCCCTTTCTGGGCCTTTGTGGCAGAACCCCAGTGACATTACAACATCACTGTGCCCATCCACCAGTGTGACTTTGCCAGCCATGCTTGCACAAATGGAAGAAACGCAGAACCCATACTCCGATGGAAGGACTGCTGCGCCAGCTGGAGCGCCAAAACACCATGAGGACACAGAGCTATCCCTACTCTACTCCAGATGGCGCACTTTGTCTTTCTCCTACTGTAGCCCCAATGCCACACAATACACACCCTCAAGCATCTCAAGCGCACGTCATTGGCGCTTCGGAGATGTTTGGCATTACCAGCGATTCTCACCATGGGGGCGCCGACCGCGATTCATCGTCCCTCTCCCAGGTCAGGGCGATGCAGAGGCCGAAGCGTCCGCGATGTTGATGAAGGCCCAGCTCGTGGGGCAGCTGGGTGAAGCCCAGGCACATGCGCGAAGGCTCAGGGAGCAACGAGACTCGGTGTTTTGAGGAGAGAAAAGATGGGAGAAGCGATGGTAGCAAAGCCAGTTCGGTGGATGTAAGGGGACAAAGATGATCCTCTATAGTTACAGTATGTTACAGTATAGGTTTAGTTATTTATAGGAGGTGTATTCAGGTGTCAAGTTCGAAAATATTGCATTTGTACTTGTCAGCCGCGATGAACGAAAAATAACGAGAAGGGAGGGACTAGCGACTAGATTCTTAGCAAAGAGAAGCATCCAGACCAAACGGCCAAACGGCCAAACCCACATCAACATCCATCGCCCACCAAGTCACCCAGATATGGGGGATCTTGTGGATCCGTGGATGTTGTCCGGATCTGCCGAAACTAGATGGAACTTGTCAATGATAAATTTGGTGGCATCCAAGAGCATGAGAGAGGGATAGGGTATTCGTATGTGGTAGATGAACAGGCTTCAAGCTTGCACTTTCAAAAGCAGTTCCATTTCCAGGGGGCAAACCGGGAAATTATCAGAACTCTCAGTCCAGTCGAGTCCGAGTGGAGCAACTTGAGTTGCAGCTGCGTCACAGCTCAGTCACAGCTACCATGTCGAAGCTTCCCAGCTCAGCCCATCTTGCCTTCCCAGCTCAGTGGCGTTGGTTCAATGTGAAAGCTCTCAAACGGACCCTGAGCATCGCGTCGTGTCGGTTGGAGGCGATCGCGTCGTGTTGGGTCCAACGGTTCAACGTCCTCCCAGGTGATGCGGAGCAGCAAGCGTTGCAGTCAGCAAAGCAGCGCCTGAATGAGCCTTGGGACCCTCGGTTTGCTTGGAGCAATCTGGGAAGTTAGAGGAATCCGGACTCGCTACCTACTACTAAACACCCCGTTTTTATCCGTGGCAATATTATTCATAAATTTAACTGTATATTTTACAGGGATGGTTTAATTGAATTCTCGGGTCGTTTTGAAAGCTATCTTTCCACCCAGCAAGGTGTTGTTTAATCCCTTGTTGAAATCGCATCAATAACTTGCAAAGAAAGCCATTTGGAGGCTAGGTTGTTCGCTTGTAAGAAGCACATCCAACCAACAAATCAGGATGTTGAAAGTTGAAAGGGCACAATTCAACCCAAAGCAGACGTTTCATTTTTGACATTATACATAGATATGGAAATTCTTGCACGTCCCTAATGCGCCCTAAACTTATGAGACCTCGAGCCCAATTAAGAAGCACTTGGGGCCGGACTGATTTTTTGGGACATGTTTAGCAGCAAGAACTTGGGATTTGCCCAGTATAGCATGAGACGGTTGCGGGACCAAATTGCAGACCTAGGGACCGAAGAGATACCTCTTTTGTTGCTGAAGTCGCTTGAAATCTAAAATACTGTTTTCTTTTCCGCCAGGGCTGACCGGAATAGTTCTAGAACCATGGACATGGGCTTCACCGGGTGGGATTACCACTCTCCCGTACATCGATCCGAACTGATCCGAACATGGCCACGCCGCACGCCTGATGTATCGTTTCTTCACTAAGCAGGCCTTGTGAGGATCAAGTTTCCTGCCATTTGGCCAGGAAAGCGCCAAGCATTCTCTTGACCGACTGCGTTTGCGCCTCCAAGCTACGTGAGCTGATAAGCTAGCGACCCTGTGAGTGTTTGATGTGATCTATGGATCCCGGCCCCAGGCGGACACAGAGATTACTGTATATAGATCCACTGTGGAAGCTGTGAATTCGAGTTCTTGCATGTCATTTTAGTTGAACATATGGCATTGCACTCGGGATATTTGCAGGAAAAAGGCAGCAGATTCAGATAGCAACTGCAGGGTTCTGGACAGCAACTGCTGCACGGACCTATGTTTGAGCGGCTATGTAGTTGGAGAAGGCCACCCTTCCTCTCCAAGTCATCGGCAAGTGGCACTGCTCAACAGGGTTGCTTCAGGGCTGCTTCACGCCCACAATTCAATCGCCCAACTCACAATGTTGCTTTTCTTATTTTTTCACTTCATAGTCTTCACTGTGCAGTGATCCTTGCATCACTAGCAGCTTCAACAACTCATTGTCAAGTCATTTGTGACATTTAGGACACCCGCCCAACGGCATTGAACAGCTCTCCATCGTCGAAGGACGGCATGACACCGCAAAAGACTGCCCGGCCCCCAAGGACTGCACTGCGTTGCGTGAGCACAGAAGAGCGCCACCGTCCTGGCTTTGTGGAGTCTCACTTGCAAGTGGTGTCGATTATATAGAGCGGGTCGGGGGGCTCGGATATGAGAGGATGAAGCCTATTTTGTGACCACTGGCATTTTTGGGATGCGCGGTGCATTCGGAAAAGTTCATATTCCTCGTTTCCCAGCCTGGTGCAGCGGAGCAAAGTCGTCAGAACTTTCATATACATGGTCTTTGCATGATGGCTTTGCTCTGGAAACGCGGCCCGCGGCCCTGGCGGTCCTGGTCTAGATTCCGGGACGAGCCAGCTGCCAGAAGGGGAAAGAGACTGACTGACATGCTCGCTCAGTCACGATCGCTTTGGCATACTGCTTGCCAAGGACTTGGTTCGCTTGCTGAAAGTCCTTGCTCCAGGCTTAGGACCAGCTGTTGCAGGAAGAGACGATGAGACAAGTGACTTGATTACCCGACAAACACCTGCAGGATCCTGCTGGATATAATTATATAATTGACAAGTGCCTGATGGTTGCACTCTCTCATCTCAGGGAAATCCTGCTTTTCGTCCTTCTCCTTCCGCTCCTGCAACGAATAGCGATTCATGAGACTCCTTGACAGGGCATTCCCCATTCTAGGTTCCCGAGGGATTGCCCGCCAGAGGTTGAACGTTTTCCCAAACCACTCGGAAACCAGGCAGGATGGGAACCAAAGCACCACAAACATGACTGGCTTGAGTGATGTTCAATCTACCAGACCTCAGAACACACTTATGGTACTTTATGACATTTGATGACGGTAATGGATGATAACTATATATTATATATATAATTATATATATACAATTACATACATGGATGATGTCCTTCTTTCGAAGGGAGACAGGCTGCAGAAAAGGATCTCGCAGCTGCTTTGCTCGACCATGGCTGCTCCCAGCTCCGCGTCACGGGCGGATGAGGCCATTTCGCAGAAGGTGTCGGATGCGGAGGCGGAGCTGATGCGCTTGCGTCGGCGCATGGTCCAAGTGGAAAAACAATTGTCAGGGAGCTGTCAACATGGCAGCGCCCACAGCGGACTGAAAAGATTACAGGAGCAAAAGCAGAGGAATGCTCAGATGCTCGCGCAGTTGGAACAAGAACTGAAAGAGGAAGAGCGTAAATGCGGAGCGCTCAACCAGGAGAATTTGCTCTTGGAAAACGCTTTGAGGGAGTTGAGACAGAATACCAACAAACCTGAAAGCTGCAGCACCATCGATACAGACGCTGAAGATGAGACAGCCCCCTGCCTGCGTGTCTCACGAAGGCGCATTGAGGGTGGAGGAAATACCGGGTTTATCTCCGTGGACCTTGACACCGTCCTAGTCATCACCACCACCGAGCACGAGATGTCCAGCCAACCGGTGGCGAAGCCAATCCTTTGGTATTTTGGCTATGCACTGAATCGACCGGAGGTGGCAGGTTGGATGAAGTCCTCAGACACGAGAGCATTCAAGAGGTCAGAGTTCTGCCGGTGAAAACACAGAACTTTTGTTGCGAAGAAGTGTGCAAAAAGAGACTGCCTTAGCGTTCTTCAATTCGTGTGGATTGATGGATTTAGATTGGATTTCGCGTTTCCCACTAAACCATTTCTCTTGAGGTTTGAGGTGGTTGGGGGGTGCGCGTGCTTCGTTCAGGTGATTTGGATTCTGGACGATCACTTATGCAGAAACTATGGGACATTATAGGACCATGGGATCACACCATATCACACCCATGTGAGTGTGTGTTCAAATGGACCTCCCAGTTCGATCCCCTGGAAGAAGCAACATAGAAACCCATAGGTCGGGGGCATATTAAAATCCACAGGACCATCCACGGGGCTACCTGCCGGGCTACTCTGCGCCTATGAGCGCTACTCCTTGGACAGTCCAACTGACTTCTTTATGATCAGCCTGCCAGGCCTGCCAGGCCTGCCATGCGCCCAGCTTGAGGCCTGGGAAACCCAGCGCCAAGGATGGTGGCAGATGGACGACAGAGCCTAAGAGAGCCCCCAGAAGGAATCAGTCACTCAAAATTGCTTGCACCAGGCAAGGGCGGCATATATGCCCGAAAGGTATCACGGTATCACCAGATGTTGGTGTAGTGGGAAAAATAAACGTACTTCTTGGTGAACGCCCAGAAATCAACGAAACGGATTTGTTGGACCAGCATGCAGTGGATCCTTGTGGGGTGTTGGCTTGCAGTCATGGTTTCCAGAATGTGTCCCACATTTGACCGCCTGATTTTGTTACTTCATGCATCTTGAGGCCCGGGCAGAGGTACACAAAAGAGTTGTTTGTCGCAGAGTCAGCTGGAGAGCTGCCAAGAATGAGAATGAAGTTGCGCAGCACTCTCATTGCAGGCTATCGCACACACCAACTACGCCCGCCACGCTGCCTTCGCAAAAGACGAATCGGAGTCAGCCTGAGCAAGTGAAGCATGCAGATCACCCCCTTGAAGTCCCATGTTGGAAGATGTTGGAAGGCAACGGGCTAGGAGAGCGGTTTCAATCAACGGGCTTGCCTCAGTTGCTTTCAACATCTTTCAACCGTTGTGTTACAATGGCTTTACGGAGAGCAACTTTCAAAACATGTCATCATGTGTTGTGCCATTTGTGCAGGGTCATTTTCGGAATGCATGTGCAGAGCACCCTTTGAAAACCAAACCCCTGGTCTGGATGGCTGTGTATATATTTATATATTGTAATATATATATGCATATAAGTAACCATAGATTATACATACGGTGTCACACACCTGACACACCTTTGCCCCATGTGCCCCAGGTCACCCAGAATGTCTACAGCCTTCGTAAGGACGTCTTGGCCTGAAACAGGGTTGATCCAGGTTGCCCATGTTCCACTTGATCGTGTTGGAGGATTGTACCTGTGGGAGTTTGAATCGAACACTCCCCATATTGATAGAAATGGCAGAGGCACAACTGTTCCAATAGACTTGAAGAACTGAGTTGCCAGAAACCTATTTAGTTCGCAGTTGGGATTGTGAGGGGGTCACTGTAGATGATGCACCTGAACCATTGATTGGTTTGCACTTGGCCCTACAGATTTTGCCACGCATCCTTTTGATCTCATGCTGTCGCTCTCAATCAATCATTTCCAGAAGATGTGACCCTTGTAGGGTTCCAGCTTTGCCTCACCGTAGTCGTGATTGGTTCAAGTTGAGCTGTGGGCAGTGCAAGAAGCCCCTTCCTTAGTGGAAGGAGAGGACGATCTGTGCAAACTCGTGTCAAGAAGGTTTACTTCGTATGGTTTTTTTCACCACTCTGTAGGGCGCCATTCTTTTTTCATGCTATACTCAGATTCATTGATACGGAAGCATCTTAGGTATTTTTGAATACACACAGTATACAAGACCGCTTTTTTATTTGGCGCTGCACATTCAGTTCGAGAGTCACGGCTTTGGCGGCTTTAGTTGTTTTGATTGCTTGACCTCGGCAGGAGCATGGACAGGTCTGCGCTCAACAAAGCCACAAGTGCCGATGACACGCCTACCCCAGGCTATTTGTACACTGAGATGCCTGGCAGAACCGGCGAACTGTCTCGCTGTACCGGCAAAGTCCTTTTTGGCGTTCGGCTGTACCGGCGAACACTTCGATCCTCGGGTGCGCAGTCCAAGGATAGCGCAGTCCACCTTTGCAGACCTAAATGCATGTCAGCAACTGGCCGACTACCTCATCAAGAAGTGCCTTCCTTGGCGCGTTTCGCAACGCGGACCAACGCAGTTGGCCGGTAAAACGACAAATCATTGGTGTTTGCGTCCTGCCAATTTAAAATGGATGCCGCCTCGGTGGCGCATGCCATGCCGCCACCAAGGCTTGAAAAAGATAATCCTCATGTTAAGCTCAAATGTTTGAAGATCATCAAGCACGTGCCTGGGCTGCAGCTAAGTGTGTTTCAGCAGAGTCACTTTGAGGCCACATATGTTCCAACAGAGGGCTGTGCCATGAATTGTTGTCGCTTTGACCCAGGTTTGTGACCAAGGAAAGCCAGAATTCAAGCGTGCGATTCAAAGAAAGGCTGGACATTTCATGACATGTCTCAATGATTTTTTTTCGTGGACAAATCGGACACTCGCGACTCAGAAAGCGGGAAGTGGGCGCGATAGGTCTTGCGCAGACAGTATCGGCCGCTTCTTGGTGAAGTGCACCACTTCGGATTTGGCCTTGGTAGCCAATCCCTCGGGGACACCAATCAGCGATGTTCTCCCTTTTTTTGATCAATCTCAGTTCCACACACACGAGAAATCAGACTCACGAAGATCACCCAGACCAAGCCCTCCCCAAAACATGATCCAAAGTTAAAGCAAGACAAGAGGCTTCAAAATACGAGTAAGGATAGTAAGGGGCGGCTTCGTGAAGAATGCAAAAAAAAGGTTAGAGTAAAGGGCTCTCAGGAGTTTCAATCGCAAACGAAACACCAGTGGCAGCAAGAACAAACACAAGCTCGATGTCCGAAGCCCAACAAGGTTGTGACTCGTGATGGGATCAATCCACGCTCTCTCGCCCTGAAACCGCCGAATCTGCCAGAGGACTAGGTCTAAATTCCAAAGAAATGGCAGAGAATTGGGCATTGAGCCGCTCAGACTCGGTCGCATGAATTCAACGGCTTATCTTGGTGATGTTGCGTCGATGCGTCGATAGCTGACACATCATATGATTGCCAGATGTGCAACGGTGCAGCTTTGGGAGATCGTGTGGTGTCCAGGCTGAAGTTGTGAAGGCATGCCTTCAGTACCGTGGCACTCCTGATCCCTTAAAAGGAGACGCTGTGAGAGAGGGATGTGCAAGACAGCTTGCTGAATTTAGTGTAGGCTGACGGACAGATTTGACCTCCTCCAATGCATGCATTTTCCACGGGGCCCCGGGGAGGGTAGGGATTGCTCCCGCATTGGAGGAGATGCTCCAAACAAGGCGGTGAGAGAGGAAGCTGACTTGGCAGTGAAGGCTGTCTTCAGTCCCGGCCTCACAGCATACTAGCAGGATCTAGCAGGCAGCTCAAGGTACCTGTCATTGACAGACAGACATGGAGCATGGCCCCCTGATGGAGGGTCTCCATGACTTTGCGAGGGTCGTCTCTTCATCCGCTCATGAGGCTCCAATGCATCGCTGAACGCCTATGGCTTCAGTACAGCCCAAGGAAAAAAGATGCAGGGCTTTGGAAGCGAACCCAGCGAGGACATTAGCAGCAGGACCGAGAAAAAAGAATAGCACTGGATGTGTCCTGTTTGGATGTCAAGTTTCGAGGAAACCTGCTCTTGCATTCAGACTAGCAAGCTCTAAGGGTTCTGCAATCTTCTGCATTTCCATGCCCCCACTTGACTTCTATGAGCCACCGAGCTATATTGGGATGAAGTCCATGATTTCTCCGGTCCATCCTTTGAATTGCCTTCTCCAGGATAGGAAACTTGGGCTCGAGCAGCTTCAGTGGAGGCCGAACTCGTGGAGCCCTGGGACTCCGGCGCAGAACGCACCGACCGGGTGACCGGACAAACACCAGGCCAAAGATTCGTTCGTTGCGGTTGATTCCAGGTGGGAGCAGTTTTGAAGGAGGAGGTGGAGGCGGCAGATCTTTTGGCTCAGGACCGTGCAAACTGATCAGAACCTTAGAAAGCCCCCAATACATTCCAAAAGTAGTTGTATAGTTTGACCATCCTCATTTCCACGTTTCTGCGCAAAGCACCACAGAGCGCCATGTGATCAGACTGCTTGCGGCATACCAAGAGTTTGTGGTAAGGGAGGGGAGGCAGAACTTGCTGCTTCACAGGAGGAATGGTCGGGTTTGGAAATCCAAACTTCGAGAATGCGCCTCCGAGGAAGGACGATGACAGCGTGCGGTGCTCGGATTCCATGTGAATCGCAGATCTTTTTTTGTGAGCTCCCCCTTCAAGCTTGCAGAGCCCAAAGAATTTGCTCATACATGAGCAGGGGGTCAGCTTGGGTGTATGGAAATACTTGCTGTTCGCGTTTGGAGTCATCACTGAGGTGTTTAACAAGGCGATGTCCAGCACGATGTCTGCTGTATCATACCTCCAGTCCAAGGCCTCTTGGAAAGAGCCAATTCTTCTGCATGCCTTTATATACCTGATTCGTGGAATTCAATTGGCATAAGACCTGGAGTTTGCTTCTTGCTTCGTTCTTCATGCCTTGGAGGTGACGGGTGCTCCGCAGCCGCCACCCTCCTTCCCATCCTCAGAGAGTACCTACCGGCCTCCGCCGGTGGGGAGCTTTGGATCGGGCCCCGGTGGGGGTGGTGGATCAAGTTATGGTGGACACGGCAGCTACGGCGGACACGGCAGCTACGGCGGTGGCTACGGCGGAAATAGCCATGGTCCACTTGGCCCGCTGTCCGGTGGTGCTACGCACGCTGGGGCTAGCTATGGTGTTGGCCACTGGTCGGAGAATTGGAGGGGCAGGCAGACTGATTTTGAAAGGTTAGGGGTGGGTGTGCAGAATTGCTTTGCGACTTCTATTTATTTGTTCGTTAAGGACGCATGTTAAGATGTGTTAGTTAAGGATGCCCGAAGCATTCTGAGGCTCCCATCGTCGTTGGGGCCAGCGGAATGAGCAAAGAGCAGAAGCCCCACACGAGGAGGCAGCAGAAGCTGCTGCAACCCCAGCGCCTGCGCCTGCCATGGTGGATTTGCTTGATATGGAGGAGGCCTGGCAATGCCTGGCGTGGTTGTTGGCCAAGCTTTTGGTTTGCATATGTTCGCATCATATGCTTTTTCCCGGATATTCATAGGAGCGACGCCCTGAAAGGAAACGATCGGGGGTTCCGGCTCCAGCGCATAGCTGCAGGAAAAACCGCCTCAGCCTGCACCTGGCGGCTCATCGCTGTTGGATGGGGCGGCGGCCGCCTTAGTTGAAGCCGAAGCGGTCAAAATGAAGCATCCGCTTGGAAAACAGTCTGCGGAGACTCAGCCCCAGATGTTTTCCTGTTTACGCCCGGGAAGATTTACACACAACCTGAAACCCAAGTTGCGGAGGCAGCTAGTCTTCCAAAGGTCCATTGTCAGGTTCGATGTGGTTCTGTTCCGGGTGTAGCTGTTCTTGGTGGAGTGGAGGTCACCGGATGTTGACTGGAACTGATCAGGTGTCTTCAGCTCCGCCGGCCAGCGGTGGGGAGGAGAGGGTTTTTTTCGATGCGCTCCCAACACGCTCCCGGGCGGTTGAACGACAGGTGCTTGTTGAGCGACAGGTCCTCACCTTGGGACGGCCCAGAATCCAAGAATGCCTCCATATACAGTGGTTTCAGAGTGGATGGCACTGGCACTGGAAAGATGTCTTGGTTTATGCGGGTCCCTATTGGGGGTTGTGCTACCTACTCTCAAACCACTGTAGTCTGCCAGTCCTTGGGTTGGAAGACAAGGTGTGCATTTTTGTTGACGTATGGTGACGGCAGGATCTCCTGGGTGGAGAGTTGCTGAACATGGAGACGCCTAGTGGCCTGGTTGGCAGATGGGTGGAGCCAACTGGGTATTTCAGCTGTGGCGGTCATTGACGAATTATTATTTGGGACATGCAGAAGAGACTCCGCACTGAGGTGCCAGCACTCAACCTGCAGAGGCAGTGGCAGTGAGGGCAGTACCAGCAAGCAAAAGAGAACAGTGCGAGTAGAAAACAAACGGGGTTCGAGTTCCGAAAGCAATCCCAAAAATAGTCTCTTCCTGAAGACAGAGGGTGCATCAGTCACATCAGTCCCAAAAGACCGACTGATGCAGGGTCAGTTCCACTTTTAGTTTTGTCAGAGGTGGAATCACTGGCGTGTTGTGTATGCTGACCACCAGGGCGGCCTCATCC